AATCCATTGATATTTAGTGTATATAAAATATATCTCATTTTACAAATCTAGAAAATACTATGTTATTTACAATCCATACTATTGCTATGCTAGGATCAGAGAATGTGTTCTATAAAGTGTTTTTCAGGGAAGTTTTAAGTATGTCATAGAGCCAGTAAGATAGCCAATATTAGTAAAAATTTGGAGGGCTATGGATTTCCCTCTTTATATATTTTACAATTATCTATATGTGTATATAATTGTGTATGTGTGTGTATAAATATATAAATATACATGTTTATATTTGTTTCTTAGGTCATGCTTTCTATTTGGTAATTCAACTTTTTGGTTATCACTTTATTTTTGACTACAAGAATGATTATATTTGAAGGAAGTCATATAAACTATTCCAGTAAAAGAGTAGGTTAGTAAAATTCTCCTTGTATTTCTAAAGATTTTTTACTTTCAGTTTTGTGATGGTTGCATCTTTTCATAGTTCCTCAACAGATAAAACACCTATGCATATTATATATATCTTATCATCACAAGGTATACTCAACTCTCATTGATGTCTCTCAATAAGGAACAGATTAAGAGAGGAAGGCTGAGGTCCAAATTTGTTCAACAAGTATTCACATAAGATTTAATGTTCTCTGACAGCTATTTTCTGTCTCTAGAGAGAACAAGAACAACAAACACTTAATACGTGTGCCTTTAGTGAGGCGCTGTGGGGAATCCACCCTAGGGGTGCCCAAATTTGGCAACTACTTCTCCTTTAATCACTATGAAAATCCCAATCACCAGGGAAAGAAGATGTATTTATTTGCTCCTAATTGTCCATGCCATGAGTGTAAGAGCCAAAGTGTCTTACTCTAAATGTTCTGTGCAATGAGGAAAGGCTCCTCAACCTTCACCTCTAGCTTGGATGTTCTCATTATCCAAGGTCAAGCAGGGAGCCAGTGGAAACAGGGATTCCATTGAGGCATCTGACAACATCCAGGTAAGGAGGGCATGGTTACCCTCAACCACAGGCAGACTCACATGGACACAAGCACAGAGATTTACATTTGGAAAAACAGACATACGAAATCCCTCTGCATCTAACCATATTTGTTTGACAGTGTAAGACTTTCCTCTTTCAAGAAGTTCTGACCTTTACAGAATAGAGCAAGAAGGTGTCCAGTTGAAAAGTGAAAAGTAAGCAGCAGAAAAGGAGATAATTATGGTTAGTGGTGTTAAGGTCATCTCTATAGCCTCTGAAAAATTCTGGCCAGAAACTCAGAACCAAGAGTCCCCCTCCCTATATTGACTTTACTTTTAGATACTCAAGGCCCTCCTATTGCTTCTCTATGCTCATCCATTATGGTCAGTGCACATGCAATAGAGGTATCTCAGAGAAAGGCTACTTGGATGCCACATGGAGCCTCACAAGGGCATCCACTGGAGGTAAGTCCAGGCACTAAGTAAACTCCGTTTTAAAATACAGAAACACAAATGCACAATGCTGTATATATGTAATATGTCTCATAAACACACCAACCAGACTCACAGAACATAGATGCATGAAACCAGACATCACAGTATTTTACTCATACATGAGGAACATTATTGCCAAAGGGACTACTAGGATCATTCTTTCCCTACAAGAAACTGCATAGAAGTTAAATTCCAGTTCAGAGGTGAGTGGTGATACACATTACAATAAGAGATTTTAAGTGCATGACCTACGATGATGCAAAGAGTTTCCAGGGAAATCTCATATTTGAGGTTAAGCCATGAGATACGTTTTTTTGATTAGCTTAGCGTCCCAGTACTTGCCAGTTATTTTGATATACATCTGTAACAAGGGCATATAGAAAACTGAGTTTTTTTTTTCTTCAATATTTGTCCTTATTGCATTACAAAGACCACAAGATAAATCCCACTTGACATCCTCTTTTGTCTTTTCCTCCGTTTTCACTTTGGGAATCTTCCTGTCTTTGAGACCAGAGTATGCCCTCTGCTGGTCAAGGTACTGTCTTGTCTTGTTTTTTTGTTTTGTTTTTTTTTTTAAGTGCAGGATTTTTTTTTTCATTTTATTTAAATTTTATTTTTATATTCCCCAATTACAACCCCCTTATTTTGACCCCAATCCCTCCTTTCCCCCATGCCCCATAGTGTCTCTTGTTCATAGTTGTTTGTTGATTTTGATATTTTCTTTATTATAGTTATTCTTTTTCCTGGTCCTTTATTTAAGTTTTCTAGATTCCTGCTATGAGTGAGACCATCCAGTATTTTTCTTTTTCTTTCTGGCTTATTTCGCTGAGCATGATCCCTTCCAGCTCCATCCTTGCTGCTGCAAATTGCATGTGTTTATCTTTTTGAATGCTGAGTAATATTCCATGGTATATAAGTACCATATCTTCTTGATCCAGTCATCTATTTTTGGGCATTTGGGTTGTTTCCAAAGCTTAGCTATTGTAAACAGTGCTGCTATAAACATAGGGGTGCAGGTGTTCTTTGGAATTGATGTTTCTGTGTCCTTTGGGTAAATACCTAGGAGTGGAATTGCTGGATCATATGGAAGCTCTATGTTTAGTAGGTCAAGAAATCTCCACACAGCTCTCCATAGTGGTTGGACCAGTTTGCACTCCCACCAGAAGTGCAGGAGAGTTCCTTTTTCTCCACAACCTCGCCAACATTTGTTGTTGCTAGTTTTTTTTTTAATATTTTTAACATCATAAAGGCCATATATGACAAGCCAACAGCCAGTATCATTCTCAATGGTGAAAAGCTGAAAGCAATTCCATTAAGATCTGGAACAAGACAAGGATGTCCACTCTCACAACTGCTTTTCAATATAATACTGGAAGTCCTAGCCAGAGCAATAAGACAAGAGAAAGACATACAAGGAATCCAAATAGGTAAAGAAGAAGTCAAACTATCACTATTTGCAGATGATAGGATAATATACATAGAGAACCCCAAAAACCCCACGGAAAAACTAATTCAACTAATCAATCAGTTCAGTAAAGTGGCAGGATACAAAATCAACACGCAAAAGTCAGTAGCCTTCCTATACATAAACAATAAATCTGAAGAAGAAGAAATAAAAAAAAAATCCCTTTTATTATTGAAATAAAAAAAATCAAATACTTGGGAATAAATCTAACAAAAGAGGTAAAGAACCTATACAAAGAAAACTATAAAACACTGTTAAAAGAAATAGAAGAAGACACAAAGAAATGGAAAGACATCCCCTGCTCATGGATTGGTACTGTCTTGTTTTTCCTGATGACATCTCTCTCACCCTTCAACTTCCACAATTCCCATTATCCATGCTTCTCTTGGAGGATCTTCTAGCTTTTCCCTAGTATTGCTTTACTTGTCTTTGTTCTGGGAGATATCCTTAGTAAAAAAATGACTTTAAGTCATGATACTCTCCCCTTAATTTTACTAATTTATCTCTCCTACTGGTGGTTATCTCAAGTTCCCACAAACTGCAAATTCTACAACCAACCTCCTAAAAATATTCAATACAATATCTTGTGTCCAATTCACAATCCAGTTTTGCATTTTCCTCAGGCCCTGGATCTCCAAGTGAAAGCATCTACTCTCCTTTACTATTAAAATGCCTTAATTTCTCCCAGAACATTGCATTCACAAGACTTTACTTGATCCTTTTGCCTCTAAAATTTTGTTAGTCCTGGCATTATCTGTTGGATGTACCACATAATTTGCTCTTAATCAGTTAATCCCTTCATCCAAGGGCACAAATAATCCAGATGTTATACCTGGCTGTCTTTCTTCTTTGGCTGAAAGGCAGAAGAATGTCACACAACACCCTAGACAGCATGCTCAGTTCAGTAGACCCAATAGCTGTGATCTATGATGAGGTTGACTTAATTGCAATTAATTGCTGAGGACAAAATCCAAAGCAGATTTTCCAAGACCCCCTCAAAGTTTGCAAGTTTGGAGAAAATATAAATGCCAAAGAAAAAATCTTCAGGCTGTGACACTGCCTGAACATAGTTGTTAGTAAGTGTTAGCTAACCAAAATATAACATAAAGAAAAAAGCACCTCACCTGGTTTGAAACTTTTTCTTTTGCTGACACTGTGAATTTGGCTATAGCACTTAAGTACTCTGAGACTCAGTTTCTCCTGTAAAGTACATTATAAGAGTGAATTATTGGAATAAATTATAATTTGCTGAAGTAAATACAGAAAAAAAAAGTATCTAGATGGTACTCAGTAAATAAGAGTGGAATAAATAAGATTGTTGTCACTGGTGATGAGACCTATTTAAATTCATCAAGTTTTTGGGTAACGTGGCTTAAGAAAATAATGCAGTTTTAGGCAATTCTGTTAATTTACTTAGACTACCCCAAATTACAAAATTTGCTCCAAAGGGGCCTCCCCTGGTGGCACAGCGGGTAAGTGCTGGGGTGCAAAGCTGCCTGCAGCCTCTGCAGCGCCAGTTCGATCCCCAGCTGCCGGCAAGGGTCCCACATGGCATGACAGACCTCTCCTGCCATAACCACTGCTCCCCTCAGCAGTGTATTTCATCAGTCTGCCTGTTCTGTTCCCCACTCTTGCTCTGGTGAATCCTCTCACCCTCCCATGCTTCTGACTATACCCAGTGCTTGTATAAATAAATAAATAAAGCTTTAAAAAAATTTGCTGCAAAGTTGGCACATGATCTTATGGTGTGACGACATTTTCTTTCTTTTTTTTTTTTTTTTTTAAAGATTTATTTATTTATTTATACAAGCACTGGGTACAGTCAGAAGCGCGGGAGGGTGAGAGAATTCACCAGAGCCAGAGCGGGGAGCAGAGCAGGCAGAAGGACCGAGGTACACTGCTGAGGGGAGCAGCGGGCGGCAGGAGAGGTCTGCGCGCCATGTGGGACCCTCCTCCGTCGGCCGGGGAGCAGCCGGGGATCGAACTGGCGCTGCAGAGGCTGCGGGCAGCTTCACAACCCAGCGCTCAACCGCTGCGCCACCGGGGAGGCCCGGTGTGACGACATTTTCTCCCCTTAGATATGGACACAGACAATCAGACTAGAGTCACAGAATTCCTTCTCATGGGATTCTCTGAGACACCAGAGCAGGAAGAGGGTCTCTTTTGGCTGTTCTTCTGTACATACCTGGTCACCATCCTCGGAAACTCTCTCATCATCTTGGCCATCAGTTGTGACAGTCATCTCCATACACCCATGTACTTGTTCTTGGCCATTCTCTCCTTTGTCGACATTATGGCTTCTTCAGTTACAATCCCCAAGATAATGGCAAATCACATATTGGGAAGTAAGTCTATTTCTTATGTGGGATGTATGACCCAAATGTACTTCTTCATCACTTTCACCAACATGGATGGCTTCCTCCTCAGTGTGATGGCCTATGATCGTTATGTAGCCATCTGTTGCCCACTCCATTACACCATGATCATAAGACCCAAACTCTGCATTCTTTTGGTTTCTGTGTCTTGGGTCATTACAAACCTTCATGCTCTCTTACACACCCTTCTCATGGTCCGGCTCACATTTTGTTCCAACAATGCTGTGTATGACTTTTTCTGCGACCCTTATGCTATGTTAAATATCTCTTGTTCTGATACCTTTATCAATGACTTGGTGGTATTCACTGTGGGTGCACTGATATTTATGACTCCATTTACATGTATCATTGTTTCATATGGTTACATCTTTTCTAATGTATGGAAGCTGCCATCTGCCCAAGGAATAAGGAAAGCCCTGTCCACATGTGGATCCCACATCACTGTGGTTTCCCTCTTCTATGGAGCAATTCTGGGGGTCTATATGCACCCTTCATCCACCTTCTCAACATATGACAAAGTGGCTACAGTCATCTTTACGATGCTGACTCCTATGGTGAATCCCTTCATCTACAGCCTGAGAAATCGTGACATGAAAGAAGCTCTAAGGAAACTAATTCTCAGATTCTAGAATTGGAAAATTTTGGACCTGAGAGGACTCTTGGAAATCAGACATTTTGCATTTTACAAACAGAAGAATTGAGATTCAGACTGCTGGAATATTCACCCGTATCTATGCCTCTAAATAATGATAAATAATGATGATCATGCTTTGAAATATGAGGCTGGTAGGTGTTCATAACTCAAAAAATCATTAATCTGTTTTAAATAGCTCAATTCTGAAACATTCATTTTATAGACAAAATCCTAAATTTTATAATTTAGGATTAAAAGATATTTGTCACTGCCTCCCATCATTGATTGGTAATGAAGCAATCCACGCACTCCATGTCCTCCTCATCCACTGCTTCAGTCCAGGTGAAGATCAGCATCAAGTACATGATGATCAGGAGCAGTGGGCTGATGGGCATTAGTATAGCCCAAGTTGCTGCCACACCTGGGCACGCATTCGTGTTAATGGACCAGACAGAGGACATCCTGGCAAAATCCAGAAAAGCATTAAGGAAAGCCTGTGAAAAGTGACCAAGAAGTTTGCAGAAAACCCCAAGGCTGGTGATGAGTTTTGGAGAAGACCCTGGCCAGCATCTCCACTAGCACAGACACAGCGGTAGTGGTTCCCAGCGTGGACCTGGTGGTGGAGCAATCGTGGAGAAACAGAAAGCGAAGGATGAGATCTTCAAAAGTATGGAAAAGTTTGCCAGGCTCCATGTCTTCAACTCAGTTCCTTGATAAAGCTGGTGAAGGTCAGCAAGACCCCAGACCATGCAGAAGACATTTGTGTTTCTGATAGACTTCTAAAAACAGCTGGGCAAGCATCCTATGTCTTGCAAGGACACTCCTAGATTTATTGTGCCCTACTTCATGGGGTGCCCTTAACCCATTAGGCTGTAAGAGCAAGGTGGCATGCCCAATGGAGATATTGACACCACTGTGAAGCTGGGAGCTGGGTAACCCGTGGGACATCTTGTACTTTGTGACTATGTTGGACTGGATACTTCCAAATTTATCTTGGATGGGTTGCATGAAATGTACTCAGAACCCCTAATTTCAGTCCAGCCCTACCATGAACAAGCTGGCAGTGGAGAAGAAGCTTGGAAAGAAGACTGGAGAAGTTGACCCCAAGTCCAAGAGATGCAGCAGCAGGTTGGGCAGAGCTCGCAAGAAGGTGTGGCCAGCTCTCTCAAGTGCCCGACACTCCATGTTCATATCTTTAGCCACCCACTTTTGTAATTGATGCAAATTATCTACATTAGGTACAGTAGTAGCAGCCTCCTCCATCGAGAACTCTTTTTAAGTCTATGGGTTTCTGTGTATTTTCTAAAAGACTTTCCACCCTGGCTGCCTTGGAGAAAACATTCAAAGAGTCATTTCCATAATGTATGATCCACATTCATTGGTGAAGGAAAAGGCCCTTCTTCTGGCAGGAAGCCTTGTCCTCAGCACCATGTTTGCCACAAGCCATCTACTCAAGTCTGAGGGCTGCAGTCCAGCACCTACCTCTGCCCACAGGGAACCCTCATTTGCTGCAGCATCAGGTCTGGCTGACCAGCCTGGGACCGAGGTCAGGGGTCACATACTTACACATCAGGATACTCTGCAGCCTTGGGGGCATCTTTTGTGTGGGCCTGGTTGGCAGAACACATTGCGTTCATGTCTTCATCTGAGTGATTACTGTCTGTCTCTCTCTCTTTTTGATTTTCATGAGAAATCTTTGCTTTGAACTGCCTACCAAAATTGACTCTAGTAACACGCAGTCTTTCAATCTGTGAAAATTTGAATTGAAATAAACAAACATATAGTTTTTTAAAAAAGACATTTGCATATATTTGGCAAGGGATGGATACAGCAGTCCTATAAGACAATGGCCACTAAAATGGTCTGAAAATTTCAAATGATCTTACTACTTGTTCTCTTCAGAGTAAACCGCCCTCAATATCCTCACCATTAGGCAATATAAAAATTATCCCCAGTTTACTGAGTCATAGGACATTTCATTTGTCCAGGCCAGTACAATTAGCAATGGTCCTGTCTACTCTCAGGGTCTCTGGCCATTCATGGGTTAGGTAAATTTTATTCTGTCCTGAGCTCATGTCCCTCCCCTACCTCTTACCATCTAGAACCCTACCCCTAGCAATCATTTCCCTTACTCCCTCACTAGTTTAACTTGACAGCGTTTTGGTGCTCAGCATGGTTACAGATATAGATTACTGAAATGAGTATCAGAAAGTTCTGGGCAGTAGTGAGACATCCTTGTGGATCTTGATATTCCTTCAAGTTTTGATGAGTTAAAAGCAGAGGTTCTCTTAAAGATGAAGTGTCCAGAATTATTATCATGTCATAAAGACATGAAATCACAAAATAATATAGGATTTGGACTGGAAGGCAGGACTTCTGATTCCAAGTCCACAGTTTGTTCCATCCCACGGGGCCAAGCATCTGAGTCAAAGCATCTTATCCTACTCTATACCTAAAGTATATAACCCCCCAACACCAGTTCCTACCTCCTCTTTCTGGGTGTCCAAGAGCACTCACCTAAATCCCCAGATTGACCTTCATTGTCCAGTACTCACTTAATTTTTGCTTCTCTCTGCTTTCCCTTCTCAATATCCTTCACTCACATGGTTAATCAGTACTCACTGGCCTCACTATCAACTCATTTCTGACTTGGTGCCAACACTGGTCAACTTCTGGCTTGACTGCTGCCAGAGTCTTGTGTTGGATCTGACGGCCTCCTATTTCTCCCTGCACATATCTATCCTCATACGGGGGAAACTGAATCTCTTAAAGTACTGATTATATCCTGTCAGTCCCTCCTGAAAGAATACTGAAGAGACCAGATAAATCCAAGCATTACCTTCAAATACAATGCCTAACATGATTATACCTGAACTATATTTGCAATTTTATTTTTTATCAGCTCACATATTTATGTTTCATGATTTCTGTTTCTCTTTCTCTTCTTTCTTTTTCTCTGTAGAAAGTGTCCCTGATTTTAAGACTGTGATGAGTGTGCATTTCCCTAAACTCCTTTACTAATCACATCCCACAGATATGTATCAAGCACACAAAAATGGGGCTTCTCAGACTATAGTACATGAGCTCCCAGAAGAATGAATGTTGGTGCCAGTGGCAACGTGAATACATGTGACAAATTTGATGTTTCTTTTGAACTATGAGTTTTATTTTAAAAGCAGTTTAGTGGAAATGTTTGTGATATAGTAACATAACTAATGCTGGTGTTTTAGACTCAAAATATTCTTTCTGGTATTGCCCATATCTGCATAGGCGTCTCATTCTGCTATTACATTACACACTCATTTTGAGAAAGTACCATAGATTAGACAGCATATCCCCTACAATGCTCAGCAGAGTTTCTGTTCACCTCCAAATAGTCATGAACCCCAAAAATCATTGCTGATGATGTTTTTCAAGTCTAATGAAAAGCAGGGAGTTAACAATCCAAGATTTAACATTCAGAATAATGTAGAATAGTGACCATGGTAGTTCAGAATATGGAAAGATTTCACTGAATTCTGGGGCCCAAAGACAAGCAGGGTTAAAAGGAAAGAGGTTAAAGGGTTGGCTATAATTTTACTGCTTCATCTATTATCATTCCAAAGTTGGATGAGATTAGTGGGAAGAAAGGAGAATCACTAGAGAGAGCAGAGTCAAAGGGAAAATCACTTTCTATCCACATGAGCCCCACCATTCATCTCAGGGGAGAAGTCATCATTCACGATACAGATATCTGTCTGAAAAGCCAAAAGAAACTCTGAAAGGTCAGCAGCATGGTGAACAGACAGAGGGCAGGCCTTGAATTGCTCAGACTGATGGTGGTATGAGAGGTTATGTGTTGGTTAATTCTGCAGGAGCCTCGTGTCTCTTATCCTTCTACTTCTGATGAACACCTTCTACGGCATCTTCACTGCTTCCTGCACTACACCTCATGGTCAGCTACATATGGGGATTGTACGGTGGAGAGGGAAATAGTTTACTTCAGGAACCCAGGTAAAGTTGGCCTTTGTTGCATTTTCCCACAAAGGAATTGCACTCAGAGTAAGAATTGATTGATTGTCAAACAGCCCCAGTAGTATCCTCTCTCTCGAGAAACAGGAGTGCTAGCGGGCAGGTGCAGCCAGCCAATCAAGACCATATTAACAATCCCACCTAAGTTAGCAGATCTCAGGCATGCATCAGGAGCCTCCTCTCTGTAGCTGGGGATCCTTAGAGGTAATACCTCCTTTTCCCCATAGGCAACTTTAATCAAGCACTAATTAGCCATTAGGGGGCAATGCTTTACAATCCAATTATAACAATTTGGAAAAATAAGTTAGACTTCAATCAGTAAATGTTGAAATCTCACTTCAGCAGCTTTGAGATTATTTTTCGGTCTCATGGAATCACTTTGCTCCAATTGGCGCTTCAAGTGTTTATTCCAAAACCATGCCAGACTCTCAACCTTTCAAAAGAGGTTGGTATTCTTCTAAGCTAAGCCCTTCCTGCCATTCTGTGGATTTTGCAACATTATAGATTGTCACCATCCTATTTGTAATATCTTGTCTCCCTATGCTTGAGGGTAGAAGCTAATCTTTATATAAACTTTTTGCTGTACAGTATCAATCTGCCTTTTTCAGATTACTTTATTCTGGTCACTGAAATTGTCAAAATGATGTTGAAAGTTGGTTTTGTCAAATGAACTTTGACACCCAATACGTCTTTTTATCTGAACTAACGTTTCACATGTGAGCCAACAGAGGTACTCAATGTGTTGCCAAACCCATTTTCAAAACACACCATCTTTATTTGTTCTACACTGTAGTCATATCATGTTGCTCGTCAAAATGACTGGTTCAGGATCATCATAATTTTATTTTTTTAATTTTGTACTTTTTTTACTGAAGTATAATTGACATGCAACAATATATTAGCTTCAGGTGTCAAACATAGTTACTTGACTTTTGTATATATTGTGACATGATCACCATAATATGTATATTTACGATCGTAGCA